ACACAACTGTCATCAGTTTGCTTTGTTCTGAGTTAGCGGCCGTCGTGTGTGTGGTGTGAGTCTCCCGTGAAAAACGTATGTGACGTAAGCCACACGGGAGGGAGAAAAAACGATTGCGATAACCCGTGTATCGATCGATTTTTCCGATGCCCTCATGACGCAATCGCCCGACTCTTGACTTTGGCTCAATTTTCATCGAAATAGTAAAACGATGGGGCTTGTGACTGCAAAAAAATGTTTTCCATTTTTATAACCACCCGGGCGTTTGGCATTTTGTGTAATATTCTGGCCACAGCTGCGATCTTATAGCTCCATTCCTGGCCAGCTTTTCGGACTTCAAGCTTTATCAGAGCTTGGAAAGTAAGGGATATGTGTAATATGCTCTTAACCATAATTTCAAGAGAGACACAACTGTTCAAGAACAGTTCAGGTAGAACTAGGCGTTCTGACAAACTGTTCTCAGGTTTGAAATTGGGGATGGTACCCCTCCCCCCTATCTTTCTCTTTTCGGACACCGATTTTCCCCAGTGTACTCTTCGCCTCAAGTTCCCGTTTTTCAGTCTTTAGTTTGAATTTGTTGTTTTATTATGTTGGAGAAATTTCGCACTCGCCCGGAAAACTGAGTTGTAGGTTCGAGCTCGCCTGAGAGCAAGACTTTTGCCCATAGCTCAGCACTCTCGAGATGGCAAAAATTTGTCTTGTAAAAATGATTGTTGACCGAGGGTGGTGCCCCCCCCCCGTTCCGTCACCCTGAGCCCTAGCTAGAAAAACTGGTTGCTATTTCAATTTCTCGTTTTTCTACCGTCACGTGCCGCTTCCGGTTATTATTTTTTTTTCCACAGTTCCCTGTTTCTACTGGATCTTTCATCTCCTTATCTCTCTACAAAAATTCTTTTTGTATGTTCCAGCTTTAATCCATCGCATTTTCGTAGTGCCTTCTTCTTTATAACGACATACTAGAATGAGCCCGATGCGCAATTTTTGACTTTTTTTTGTAATTTTGTAAGCGATTTTTCAGACTTGTTTCTCCTTTCCTTGAGATACGATTGTTCATTGGGCTTCCCATTGAGGTTAATTCAGCCTTATCGTCGTAGTCTGAACTTTGTGTTCAAGGGTACCCTACGAGGTCTCGTCTCCTGTTGACGATTGATCTTTTGTTTTCAGCAAAGTAGAATGAAAATTTGGACATCAGAACACGTATTCGAGTAAGTTCATCGCTTTCATAGTTTTCAGGCAATAATTTTGATTTAGCAGAATATAAATTTATCGTGAAATTCAGCCATGACTGGGAGACCGTGGTCACAGCTGCATGGCGAAAGTATCCGAATCCGATGAACCAGGGAGTGACTGGAATGGATGTTTTGAGGCAAAATCTGCAAGGAGGAAAACTTCTGTCTGAGAGAATCATCCAGTCTCATTTCCACATACCAAGTTGGGCAACAAAGGTAAAACATTGTATTCATTCACAATAATGTTTCGTAATTGATAAATAATCCATTATTCTGTTATGGCAGCATTTTTGCTTATCATCTTCATTTCATGTGACTTTGTTTCATAGGTATTTACGCGTCATGTGTGTCCTTATCTTGTGTTTTTGCACATGTTCCATGTTCCCCCTTCATGCTATTAGAGTGTCTGGAAAGTTCTGGAAAATTCCGCTTTTTAGTTTGTAGAAGTGTAGCTAGAAGAATGTCCCAAACACCAGCGTATGTCAAACGCTGTGAGAAGAGAAATATTTAAAAGAGAGCCCTCAGGAATTGATGTCCCATAAGTTGTTAAGGTTGTGAAGAAAGTTCTTGCTTGCAGTTTTGGTGCCCCGATCGCATCAGATCCTGTACTATACAAAAGGCACTACCCATTCTGCTCTGTAGCGCGATCGATTTTGTTTTGAAAGCATTTTTCATGTTTTATTTCTGTCCATAATAATATGAGCAAACGGGTTTGCATTTATTTTTATTCAAATCAGACATAAGAGCTGTGAAAAGGCGTGGAATGTTCAAGAAGCATCTAGCCCAGCTGGCCCCGCAGAGCGAATGGGTGCAGCCTCGTTGGGATAATTCTATTGAGTGGATATCACTTGGTTGTTGGGGAGGGGAGATATGGGATGGGAGTCGTTACTGGAGTTGGTAGAAATTGTTACGAGCCGTGAGAGGAATTTTTCAGTTCTTGGCTCCCATCCTCTCCCCCTCCCCTCGCTCCTCCACTGTGTGGCGCCAACAAAGTCCTACACAATTATTATTTTCGGTACGTGAAACAGGTAACTGGTTGGTGATACCTCCCGGGTACCCCCCCTGCTCAGCGGCACTTTTTAGGGGAGAAAGGAAAACTTTGAAAGTATCCGACATGGGGCGTGGAGGTGGTGTAGTGGTAAGGGGCACGCTTACCACGCGCACGGTATAGGGGTCATATACCCGATCGCCTTCCGCCCAGACCAACCAAGCCTTCTATCCTCTGGGGTACCCGATTCGTCTGGAATGGTAGAAGCTTCCAGCTGTGCATCGGCTGGCTTCAAGTAACCACCGCGATTCTGATTGGATGTAGAATGCGTGCCGCATCCAAGAAAGGGTCTGATTGACGTCGTATACTATCCCTTGATTTGAAATGGAATCCCGGGGAAGCTTTGTGAGTGGACTCCGTAAAATGAGGCTTTCCGTATTTTACAAAACACAAACCTTATTTTCGGTCTTACCTTGGTCTGGGTCACATGAAGATTTGGTGCTCGTTAGTCGTAACAGTGTGAGCCTGAGGAACTCGGATTGTGCGCTATAAGTGTAGCTGAAGGAATTCGCAGTACTTTTTGCTACCCAGCTGGTAGCGTGATGAGTGATCGACAATGCTGTAAAGGTACCAACGTGCTGGTCAACTTGACCACCGCTGTCTGAACTGCGAGATTATCCCATGTTCATCTTCAAGTGAAAATTCGTTAGAAGCTTAAATTATTTGTGCATGATAGTTGGATTACTTTGGTTATATTTTAAGTACATCTCACGAAGAGTTAGTTGTTTGCAGTTAACTGGTTTCTCGGGAACACAGTACTCCCACGAATATACAGTAATCGATCCAGAAAGCAAAACTATGGCATTGACGACTCGAAATGTAAGCGAACTCCTTTTAGGAATATTGCATATGCTCAATATTTCATTTCATAATCCAATTTTAGCTCAATGGCTCTCATTTTCTCCGAGTAGACGAAAAGCTCACCTATACGCCGCTGCCAGATGATCCGAAAAAGTACGATTTATGACGAACATTTCCGTTTTATTCCTCTCATCTAATATATTGCTTCTCTTTTTCTTCTTTTAGGACTATATTAAAGCAAGAAGCCATAGTGACAATTACCCTACCAGCATTTGCAGATTACTGTGAGAAAACGTTCATTGGTGTCTATTCATCGAACGCTGCAAAGGTGAGCTTTGATACAGCTTCTATGATTTATGCGATTTGTCCTTTTGCTATGGAACGGGGGATTTGCGGTATTTGCGACATCCCTCCACTGCTGCTTCAAAGCCACACCTGCCTTCCTCCCTACTTCTTCAGTCTTCTATCTCCCTGCAGGTCAAATTCGATTCTCGACTGAGGATTCCGACCCTTGGCGTACTCTTGTAGAAATGCACATCATTGCGAAATTGGCTTATTCATACATGAATCGGCATTAACGTGCAGTCCATGTCTGAGAGCAGAAGGAGCGTTGTTATGAGCTGGGTCATGGCTGCGAGGGTTCAGACGCAAGAGAGAGAAAGATATGTATAAGTGAGACGGCGCGGAAAAAATACTGCCGGGACATCCCTTCTGCCCTCCAATATGGACTGTATTGAGCTGGAGCAGCATATTGGACGGAATTTTTGAAAAGCGCTCATCTCATAAAGTAGATGAGTTGACCTCTTTTCGCCGAAAACACGGCGTTAATAAAAACTGTGATCAGTCTCTTGGAACACCTCCATCGGTAACGTTTTGTTCCCTCCGGATGATGGGGCGTGTCGGGGAGGCGGGCGCTGCGCCAAACCCAGCCTCCCGTAAACGCCATAGCATCCGCAGCATCCAGTCTGTCCATGTGGCTTCAGGACCCGAAGAAACGGCGTGAAGGTGATCCTGGAGCGTTTAGCAATGACCTCCACTTATAGTGTCGAATGATGAAAGAATCATGATTCATAGTCCAGTGCGCAGGATGGCCCACAGAAGGTGTCTACGAGTGACACAATCATCGAAATTACGAAGCCCTTCAGTCTGACGCAAATACTGAGTCATGCGTGGGCAGATATTGTAGGCATTATTGAGCTCGTTAGCGATGATGGATGGAATCTTTTGATTGCAGTGGTAGAGGCAGTTCTGAAAAACCTACTTCTGCTTTTAGACGGACATCTTAGGGTGTTCTCTATGTACCTTAACGCCCTGTGTATATAGAGAAGACTCTATAACCATTTCCAGCACGTGATACTGTGAAAATGAACTGTCTTGTTTACTTTGCTTGTTTATTATCATCGCGGCAGTATAAAAGACTGCCGCGGTAAGGTTGACTTCACCCTTTTGTTGTTGGTCTACCGCAAGCAGTAGCAATAAACGTTCCGAAGACCCGCGTGGCAGCGTATAGGATACAACTACACTACACCGGCTGCAGTACTCAGTGATACTACAATCACTACATGTGTGATGACCCGCTAGACGCCGAAGGTGTGCGCTATAAATCTCTCCTTCCTCCCCTGTACGTCTTATTCTGAGATGCATCTCGTCATCTGCAACTGGGAAGGCCTTCAGAGGCTGTCAGAATAGAAAAGGTGTCCTAGACGTTGCTGATGCGCGCCATGAACTGTCTCTTGTCTGCCCTGCCCCCTGCACGTTTATTGGTAGATGTACCCCGTCATCCCTAACTAGACCTCTGGCTGTCCAGAATAGACGAAACGTTTTCTACTGCTTCCGTTTATGCCCAGAGGTTGACTTTCCCCTATTAAATTGTCAGCATCAGCCATCAGCACCTCTCGAACCCTAATTTCCTTCCCAAGGTGAAACTTTTATTTCTGAGGCTGCTTAATACTTTTCGTCGGGGTTTCAAGGAAGGGAGAGAATAGGTATCGATCTAAGGTTTTGGAAGAACGCCAGCATTTTAGCGTACTGAGGAAAAGGAAAGTATAAGCATCGATTTACCGAGCATTTGGGAAGCGTTCAGAACGCTAGACCAAGACTATGCTTCCCTCGCCGCCCAGAACGCTCAAAATGCCAGCGAAAAGTATGGATGCAATCTAAGGTCACCTCTTATTTCGATTGCGCTGGTACCCCCTCCAAAGTTCAAAACGAAATCTATCTAGATATCCGTTATTTTTTGTATAAAGAATAAATCTTACTAGTCAGTGTGCATTCGTGGAAAAGCTGATAAACCGCTAAAATGCAATCCGGGATTCGTAACGATATAGCATACCCAATTCTGTTAGGGTGTAGCATGGCTGGAATCCCCGTGAGCAGGCTATTTTGTTTTGGTTTTAGTTTTTTGAATGAGCGTGCCATTTCGGGAGGAATTTTCTTTATGGGGATAGAGGGTTCTGGTATCCTTGTATGGTGTAAATTTAGTGTTAAATATGGTACAAGTTACACTTGCACATTTTCTTGTTCCTTTTCAGGGAAGGAAAGGTGTCGAATGGGTGATAGATCAATTGAAGAAGGAGTACACGGATATCTCATCGAAAATCTCTGCTGAAGTTCATGAGATGCAAGAGAAAGTAATGAATGCTTTCAAAAGTGCAGATAGTTCGACGACTCCGATAACGCCTTGATTGTTTCAAGAAGAAATAGATGATGATGCATTCTATGCCTATTGCTTAGGTAGAGCTAGGATTCGCACTAATCATATCATGTGATCTAGCTGTTCCTAGTTTGTTCCGTTGTTTAGAAATGTGTTATCACTTGAACTTATCGCAGTTGTCTGCCTTTTCCTACTCGTGAGCACAGATAGATAGTATTTAAGATTTACGTTTTTCACGGGTTGTGAATAGTTGTTAAAGAACTGAAGAGCACTTTTCTCGTTTTGCAGATATAGTCATTGTTGCCTCGTTTCAATTCTTGGTGGCCGTATAGTTTAGAGCAGACTAGGCGTTGTTGGACGAATTGTTCCACAAAGAATGCAGTCGGTTCCCGGTCTCCCTATCTACCTGCTGCAATAAACCTCAACAGCTGAACTCTCATCGTTGTCGAATTAATACCTATGTCGTTTTATGTTCAATTAGTTAATAAGATCTATAGGAGAGTGTCTGGAGGTGTAATGTCCGGGAGAGGGGCAAGAGAATCGTAAATGGCCGCTTGACGCGCGCGCAACGGGCGCGACGTCTCCTTAATTTGCGTTACTCTCTTTCGACTGGAGCATTGGATTCCATGTAGACAAGGACATGGTAGACGCTTGTCTATTTCTAGTCATACACAGTCTATTCTCAACCGGTACCACCTGAAATCGTCGTCATCGGTGGACGCGGCGTCGCACGCGACGCAAACTGGCGCGGCGAGTTACGGTTCTTTTGCCACATACCCGTAATGTCCATGTTAACAAAACCTTATAGAAATTTATAAATGAATCTAATTCGACATATTTTCGTTAGGATCAATATGATCGCATAAATCAAACATATTCTGTGTAGATACGGTTTTCATCTGGAGCGGAAACAGTTCACCATCACGTCGAGTTCGAGCTCGTTGGTAGAGGATACCGGTTCTGCGAGAGACCGCGATTCTTTGGATTCCTTTGAATGCAGTACACAAGTCACAGGTCACATGCCCATGGCTATGTCGTA